TGTTCCCCTGGGTAGCATTGAAGTGAGAAATTTGCAAGCCCTTCTCAGAAACCTCTGTCACTCTCAGGTGTGCCATCTCATATGCTATATGCTGCCTCTATAAATTAAGACCTTAACACAGTTATTGCAATTATTTTGTAAAACTGAGATGGCTCCCTTGACCAAAATTTGGTTTTAATATCAAGACTGATGATGCCCTTGCACACATAACAAAGGCATAAAATGGTTTAATGCTATAATGGGGATATCTTGGGAGATCAGGACAGCTTCCTGAGCAGATATGGAAATTGGAAAGATCATGGAATAGAACCTGGCTTGTACTGAGTTTAGGTTATGGGCATGTCAAGATTTCTGTACATTTTGAACAGCCACAAATTCCAATGATATCAAAGAAAGGGTTGTCCAGGCATTTTTAGCTTTGCAGTATATGAGCAGCAGGGTAAATGGAAGTAGTTGGACTGGAAAACTATTCACTGTCAAATGTCAAAAGTCTGCTTTGACACTTTATTATAACATTATGCTGAACCATGCAGAAGATGGGGTAATCATTGGGTGATCTTTATAGGAATAGAGTGATGTTGCATTAAAAGTCATAAACTAGGGATGATTGTAGATTTGCTTTATGTCATGATATACAGGCCAACAGGGAGCCATGTTCCACTTACCATTATTTTCTATAAATAAAACCATCATTTTGAAATATTACCCCTTTAAATAAAGGTGATAATCATAAAGTATTTAATTATAAACATTCATAAAGTGAGAGAAGTCATAAATCAATAAGTCATCAAATAAATTTGAGTTTTCCCACAGAAAAGCGAATTGGCACTTAAATGAATTCTGTATGTGATCACTATTTTTTGATGAAATTTTATTATTTAAATTTTTCATTGTGCATATTCATTATACATGGTACTGTGTTACAAAAGCATGTTTTCAGAGAAGCATATATTGTTCATTGAACATATTCCCCCTCCACTCACTCTATTCTTTCTTATCTCTTTAAGTCTCATTAGTCCTTTTATTCATGTAGATAGTTTTGCTTTTGTTCTCATGTCAAATATACAAAAGTGATCTTACATATCAGTGCTCTAATTCCCCTATCTTATTTTGAATCATTGAAATTATGTTCTCCTGCCAATCCATTGTATTGGACAATCTATCAAACTTTTGACAATCTTCTTACCTGACTTTTCATTTCTAGTATTGTAGTATTTTTCAACATTCCTCTCTTTATTAAGTTCCACTTTGGCATCCTGTGTTGACTTCTTTATTTCAACTGTTTTTGTTCTCTAAGAATTTATTTAGGAGTTTATTGTGTCCATTTGAACATACTATAATTATTCTTTTGAATTCTTTGTCTAGGAGGTTATCTGTTTTATTCCTGTTGTTGTGGGGTCTGTAACTTTTGAAGGAGTAGTGTTGCCATGGGACTTTACTATTGAAATTTCCACTTTGAGGGGGTAGATCATTGTTTGGATTTTTTTAAAGTCACTTTGATTTTATATACATATACATATATATACATATACACATCTATATATGTACACATATAATAATATATCTGTGTACATACATATACACATATTTTACATATGTTTATTTATTTATTGTGTGTCCATATGCCCATGTGTATGCTGAGCCAATTCTCTTCTGTCTACCATGTCGCTCCTGGGAGTTCAGTTTAGTTTGCCAGGCTCCATGGCAAACACTATTACCCATTGAGTAACATCACCAGTTCCTACCAATTTTCTTTCAGTGAAAATATTTGCAGTGTTCAAAACAGACTTGTTTTGTAGACTTTAGTTGTTGTAGGTTTGAGGTGCCATTTTCCTCTGCTAGGCTTGTATTTTGGGTACCAACTCCACTTACAGTACTTCCTTGAGAGCAGAATACTGTTTATAAAATAAATAACTATAAAGGGTAGGCCCTCTATGAACATAAAAAATCGTCAAATGAAAAACAGTTATTCTCTAAACACCATTTTAGGAAGAAATAAACACTGATAGCATTGTGTGCATTGTTGTATTATTTACTGTGAGTATGAATGCAAAGGAAAAGAAGAGTTAAATTAAAATTAGCATTGGTCTAATAGAGAAAAGGCTGAAAGAAAAGTAAATAGATGGAGGGAACAATAGGGACCAAGGATAGTAGATGAAGTTTTGGCTGGAGGTAGAATTAACAAGGTCAGGAAATGAAGTCCAATAACCAAAAACAGTATCAGCTGTTAAGAGACTGAGAAATGGAGACCCAAACAACAAAGCAAGACAGTGTTCTTTTCAAAAACCTATAAAAAAGAAAATGAAAAATAAAGAATAGATAAAAAGGAAGATAAAAAGAGAAATAGAGAAGACAGGAATAAAATAGGGTAGAGTTGGTTTGCTAAATTAACAATGCATACAAAGTGAAGAGGAGACATGTTAAGGGGAGAGATGGATGGGTATAGTGTCTGAATGCAGCTTCACTTGCTTGCTGGTTCCAGTCTCTTGGCATTCCTTCTGGGGCTCCCAAGTATCTGTCACACTCCCAGATACTTTTTAGTGATGTCAAATCAAATTTCTCAAGGATTGGTTTGCAGATGGTGTTCATACCTCTCAGTGGTCCTTAAGACCTGTCCCTTGGGTCATCCTTTGCAAGGTCAGTGCATAGATGCTAGTCATATGTTTACAGTCTATGCTGCAAACTGGCCCTTTTGTGCAGCACAGTGCAGTGCTCAGTGCCCTACATGACTCTTAATGTATTTTACCTTGAAGACTCTGGCTCTACATTGTTTTCCTCTTCACTGAATACTATGAGGTTCTGTCCCACCCCATCCTAATGGTATTTGACTGGCCACATTTCAGTGTATACTCCCTACTCCCATGATACTTGAGTTTCTCTTGAGTGCAGTTCACACAGGGTCTCAGGATCCAAGCCTCTCACTCAATGGGAGTATTTTTAGAATGTACTTAAAGATTACTTTTCAGAGAGGAACATTTTCTTGACATCTCTCCTACCTCTTCCAGTGTCACTGCTGTGCACCCCTTGTCCGGCTTTGTATTTGTTTACTGCTCCTTGAATGGTTGCTATTTAATGTACAGTGTGGATTTTTGAACCTGTGCTTTAGCTATAGTTTCTTCTCTTGGCTTCTGCTGTCTGCAAGGCTTCCTCTCACCCAAACTGAGCCACTGTCTCTGGTTGGGTCCCTGTACTTTGTCTTCTGCTCTGTAAGTTTCCCTGTTTTCCTTTGCTATTAAGATTAGAGGTGCTCAGGTGTCATTCATACCTTCTGGTAGTTGGTATATAGCCTTCCAAAATTTAGTCCCTGAGTTTCTGATTGGCTTTGTCTGTGCTTCTTCCATCACTTCAGATCTTGATAATTTGTTGGTTTTAATGAGAGATTTTGTGACAGTGGAAAATCCAATTCTTGAAATCTTTTGGTTTAAATATAACAAAAAGCATATTCAAGGAAATCAGATGGCTTAGGAGTAGGTTTTCTGAGTTATTAATGTCAAGGACTTTCTAAAAATCCCTGGTTATGTAAGGAAGTACTGGAAGATGCCTATTGATGTGACATGTGGAGCATAGATTTTAGAGATGTAAAGTTGAATAAGCTGTGTTTTGCCTTTGAAGACTTAAAAGTCTTAGATTTAAGAATTTGAAGAATAATATTCTTCTGCTATTTAAGTCAATGTCAACTAGTGTACTTGTCAGTCACTCCTATAAAACAGCTGCTCAATGTTTAGAAAAAGCATCAATGAAAAGCAAGTATAAACTCAGTATTGTTTCCTTAAATAATTCCTATCAAATTAAATAAAATAAAAGCTAGGTAAGAACAAATTCTAATTTGGTACTGATGTTATGTAGGGAAGATTGATGACAACTGACAATATTGTCCACTGTTCTTAATGTAATGCTGATTTCTATTTGAAATAGAGAAAACAGTGGCTTGCTGCTTGCTGAAGTAAGAAAACTCTGTGAGATGCTTTATTGTGCATTCCAAGGCACATCTTTACAGGTAATGAGGTATGAGAATGACTGATAAGCACACGAGAACAAAATAATAAAACAAACAGTTTCACCTAAGTAACATTTGCTTATAACAAATAAGCAAAACTTTACTAAAAATGTCTGATATAGAGACTTGAAAACTTTTGAAGTCACCACCCTGTAAAAAAAACCCAAAGCCAAGAATTATAAGTTAATTTAACTCTCTATTTATTCTGCTGTAATCAATGGACAGCTTTTAACATGTATCATGAAATATAAATGCATAATTTACATAATTTAATATGCAACTTCTTGCTTTTGTAGGTAGACTTAAGAAATTCTATGCATTTTCCTGTTGAACTCCTTTAGGGGGAGTTTTGTGAGGGCATGAAGAAATTAGTCTAATGTGGTAATAACTACTTTTAAATAACTTTCTGATCTACTTTATTTCGCTTGACACACACAAACTATTTTTACATCTATTGTATAGATTGAAAGACTGAAATTTGTCCTGGGAAGATAATGGAACACTTGGCTAGCATGAACTTAACTTTGACTCCCCATATGGTATAAAGTGGGTGTGGTTGATAACATATACCTCCATGAACAGGCAAAGAGTAAGGTAATCCCAGCCACTTAACAAGTTGAGGCCAGCCTGAGTTATGTGAAACTCTGTTCTTTAGTTTGTCTTGGTCAATGTTCTGTTGCTGTGAAGAGACACCATGACCATGGCAACTCTTATAAAGGAAAATATTTAATTGGGGATGGCTTTCACTTAGAGGTTCATCCCATTATTAGCTTTGGTGGAAGCAAGGCAGCATACAGGCAGACATGGTGCTTTAGAAGGATCTGAGAGTTCTACACTCAGAGTCTCAGGCAGCAGGAAGAGGGAGACCCTGGACTTGGAATGGCCTTTTGGAAACTTTAAAGACCACCCCCAGTGGCACACTTCCTCCAACAAGGACACTATCACTCCCTGGTGATCGGGTATTCAAATCTATGAGCCTATGGGGCCATTTTTCATTGAAAAAATACAATTCATGCAAACATAGTCCCCTACTACCACAAATTATGCAGTCAAGTTTCCTGCCTTTGGGGACAATTACAGGGGTCAGCACAATCATAGTGCAATGGATTAAGCCTAACCCTGGAAAAACCACCTTCGTGATCATGGGCTCTCCCCTGCCAGGCAGTATTCATTTTCTTTTAAAGTTTAATTATCACTATTCATTAATTTTACCTTTTAAATTTCATAAAATGTATTTTGATCATATTCACTCCCTCCCCAACTCCTCTCAGATCTATCTCCCTTTCCATAGTCATCCAAATTTATGTCTTTGTTTAAAAAAAAAATCTCAAACCACAAATAAAAAGAAGTCATCAAGTTCAATTTGTGCTGCCCATATATATATTTGCGTATATATGGTCTTCCATGTATTTGTGCTGCCCATATATTTGTGTATATGTGGTTTTCCATTGGACATGGTTGACTTAACAGAGGCTGCCACCTTAGAGAAGACTGGCCTCACTCTCCCAGCAACTATCAATTCCAATAGTACTCAGGTAGGAATGGGAGTTTATGCCTACCTCTCCTCTCCATGCTGGAATTTTATCTGGCTTGAGCCTGCACACATCTGCCAGGTTCATTGTGAGTTCATGTATGCATCTGTCCATCTTGTGTAGGAAACACTATTTCTTTGTAGCTATCCACTGCCTTTGGATCCCACAATATTCCTGCTTCCTCTTTTGCAGTGATTACTGTACACTGGGGTGAGCATTCATGATATCAATGTTATATTTAGGATAGGCATTTTATGGTCTTTTAGTTTATGCAGTGTGACCATTTTGGTTCTCAATATTAATCATGTATCTTGCAAAATAAGTTTCTGTGACCAGTGCTGAGAGATATATTAAATGGGCATAAAATCATTCACTAAGAGTCAATAATATGTCCATTTAACAGAATAACAGTAGCAGGTTCTCCTCTGTGGACTATGCTCTGCTTAGCCACAGTTCTTGATCCTGATAACAGTGTCAGGTATGAGTTTCGTCTTGTGGAGCTGGCTTTAAGTCCAATCTGAAAGTGGTTGGCTACAACTATCAGAAAGTTGTATCACCATTTATTTTACATATCTTGGCTGGTTGGTTGTTATTGTAGCTTGTAGAATTCTGAGCTGGGTTAGGTTGATAACTACTTTTTCTCGCTGATAACACACACATCACCTTCTAGCATGATGAAAGCTTGTCAGAAGGCATGAACTTTGCAGGTCAGTACCATTTTGATTTCTCCATCTTCTATGAATCAAGTATATGTTGTCTTCAGCAGCAGAGCCTTTCCCTCAATTTCTGGAGGGCAACCAATGGCACTGGTAACAATCTGTAATGTTTGGAATAGTTATAGAACTCACTAGCCAACAATTTCAAAAGAGATAGCCCATTTCTGGCACTAGGCTTTTTATCCCTCAAAATATTTTTTGGAAAATATCTCAGAGTCAAATATCTTTTTTTTTAATTTTTAAAAAATCCAATGTATCTTTTTTACCTGTGTGTGTGTGTGTGTGTGTGTGTGTGTGTGTGTGTGTGTGTTAGGAACGTCTAGAGTAGTAGGTTTCCATATAATTTAAAAAGGTCTTTAGTATTATTTTATTCCTCTCATTCCCCATCCCAATTTAACCCTTTCTGTTTTCCCATTGCCTTTTAACCCATCACACCTATGTGTTGCTTTTTCCTACCTTGAAAGCACTCTCCTATGGCCTCTTACTCTAAATGGATGTTTTCCTGTCCCAACTTCTCAGTCACAAATATCCATTCAGAGACTGAAAATGTATTATAAATACTTGGTGGATAGCTCAGGCTTGTTACTAGCTAACCCTTTCACTTAAATCAACCCATATTCTATTAATGCTTTGCCACGTGGCTCATGGCTTATTACCTCATTTTTCTCTCTCTTTTTATTATTATTAATTCAATCCCTTCAAGTGGGATGGGCTCTCGAAGTCCCCCACATACACCAGGGCAAAAAGCCAGTCCACCTCCGGAGGCTCCCAGGAGTGCAAGGTCCTCCCCATTGGCATCCATGATCAGGGGGCTGGATTAGTCCTGTACTGGCCTCCCAAAGAGTGTCTGGGGTCGATATGCTTTCCCTTTTTCAGGCCAACTGTTTATGTGGGTTTCTCCAACCTGGTACAGACCCCTTCGTTCTTCATTCCTCCCTCTCTTCAACTAGGTTCCAGAATTCAGCTCAGTGTATTTCTGTGGATGTCTGTCTCTGCTTCCATCAGCCACTGGATGAGGACTCTAGGATAGCATAGAGAGTAGTCATCACTCTCATTCTAGGGGAGGGGCTTCTAGGCCATCCTCTCCTCCACTGCCCGGACTGTCAGATCATATTACCTCATTTTTTATACTTCCTGCTTGCTTAGCAGCTGTCCAGCATCTCTCTCTGGACTCCACCGACTCTTCCCTTCCTCCTCCCATCATTCTTTCTATGTCAGGCTGTTTCATCCAATCTCTTCTTGCCCTATTATGGGGCAATCAGTTTTATAAATTAACAATTAGCATAATCTACACAATGTTACCCATTTCCTGACATCTGTGAGATTATGAAGATTCAAAGATAACATTTGTAAGTAAGAGAAAACATGCATTTTTATTTTTTTTTTACATTTTTGTGTATTATTGTGATTCAATTAAAGAACCCATTTTTCCCCCTTTGTTATCCTAATTCCACTCCTACATATGCTGAGTTAGGGTTTCTGTTGCTATGATAAAATATCATGATCAAAAGCAACTTTCGGAAATGGGTTATTTCCACTTATACTTTATAGTCCATCATGGGGAGAAGATAGGGTAGGTGCAGGATCATGGGACAAGGAAATGAAGCAGGGGCCATGGAGGAATACTGCTTACTGGCTTGCTCCCCATGACTTGGTAGGCCTATTCCCTTTTCTTTCTCTTTCCCCTCCCTTCCTTCTTTCTTCCTTCCTTATTTTTTCAAGACAGGGTTTCTCTGTAGCTCTTGCTGTCCTGGAACTAACTCTGTAGACCAGGCTCTCCTCAAACTCAAGAAATTCACCTGCCTTTGCCCTCCCTGAGAGTTCTGGGATTAAAGGCATGGGCCACCACCACTGGGTTGATCAGCCTGTTTCTTGTACCACACATGATCACTTGCCAGGGTTGGCACCAATCTCAGTGGCTGAGTCATCTCAAATTAATAATTGATAACAAATGCCACAAAGGCTTGCCTATATACCAACTTGATGAAAGATTTTTCTCAATGGAGGTTTTCTTTTCCCAGATATTTCAGCTTGTGTGAAGGTGACAAAGACAAGCCAGGCCTGACCCCTTCTTTTCCTCTCCTGTGTTCAGGTTGTTTTTGACCCATTGCATCTAATTAGGGTTGCTTATTTGAGCAAGGGTAGGGGGTATTCACTGAAGCATGGACAACTTACTAGTGGCTACATCACTGCAGAAAACGACCCCTCTTTCCTTTGCAACCATGAAATGTAAACATCTCCCCCAGAAGGTCTGCAGCTTCCTGAGCACTTCTCATACCCAGAATGGAATGGTAAAGGCCCAACTCTTTTGTGGGTCTTGAGTAGACATCCATAGCTGCTGTGTGTTCATTGTTGTAATGGAAATGATACCTCTCAAAGACAGAGGTGAAACCTTATCTTAAAAGAAAAAAAAAGATAACTAAGGTTTAAGGAGGTGAATTAATTTTGATTTTTGGTTATTTTGAGACAGGGTTTCTCTGTGTAGCTTTACAGTCTATCCTGGCACTCCCTCTATAAGACTAGGCTGGCCTCAAACTCATAGAGGCTTCTGCCTCCTAAGTGCTGGTATTAAAGGTGTGTGTCACCACCACCCTGCATTTTTCTTTTTGTGTGTGTGGGGGTTAGTTACTTTTTAAGAGGTTGAGTTTTGCTATCTACAATTCAAAGGGATCCTTAATCCACATGTCCTGTACTTCAAGGCAAATCTCTGTTTTAGTTAGATTTACTGGTCAACAATCCCAGGAGATTCCTTGAATTCCCTCCAGAGCTAGTGTCCCGGATGTGGGCAGCTGTGCTCAGTTTTCACTGGGTCCCTTTATAGACAAGCATATGTTGACTCTTTGTCCCTTAGACAACAATTTCTCACCCAAGCCTAATTTAGACTGAGGAGGAAGAACCATGCTAGCCTTTCTGAAATACACATCCAATTTTGTCATTTTAAATATTCTCAAACTCACCAAAAGAAGAAAAAGAAAAAGAAAAAGAGAGAGAAAAGCTTATCCACTTGTGGGACATTTTCCTATGGGTTTGTTGAAACCTTTAATTTCAATTTCAGCATTTTGGGGTGAGGGCTTTTGAGCGACAGAATTTGAGATGCTCTTAACTCAAAACAAAGGTTAGCTTTATTTATTTGGGCTTTGGATATTTTATTGATAACAATATGTGTACTAGTTATACATTTTTTTTTGTTTATTTGAGGCAGGGTTTCTCTGTGGCTTTGGAGGCTGTCCTGGAACTAGCTCTTGTCCTCCAGGCTGGCCTTGAACTCACAGAGATCTGCCTGCCTCTGCCTCCCAAGGGCTGGGATTAAAGGCATGAGCCACCACTGCCAGGCTCATTATGCATTTTAATATACTTTTCTGAGTTCTAGGTTTATGGTAAATAAATTGTGCCTTTTACTTAGTGTCTATACATTAATTCTTTTCTATAACTTATTTACTCCTTTAAATTTCATTTTTACATTCCAAACAGTTTTTCTTCCCACCCCTCCTTCTGCTTCCCCTCACCTTCCCCCACAGGCCATGCCCAGTCCACTCCTCCTCATGGGCAAGGGCTCCCATGAGAAGTCAATAAAGTCTGACACAATAGGTTGGGCGGGACCAAGACCATGTCCCATGTATCAAGTCTGAGCCTGGCATCCCATCATAGGAAACAGGCTCCAACAAGTTAGCTCATGGACCAGGTTTGTATTGTGGTCCTACTGCCAGGGATCCCTCAAATAATCCAAACTTCACAACTGTTTCCCACATATGGAGCATCCAGTATTACACAATGCAAATGAAGCTAATTTCATAAAAAGCACTTTGAAGGAAAATAACATAACTAATTATCAACTATATGCCTCACTGAGATGAATTGTTTCTATCAAGAATGTGCATCTTTAGCTCTTTCATAGAAAATACGAATACTTTTAAGGGGTA